AAGTCTTGCTGCCTGTTAGGTTAGCAAGTACAGCAATAGCAAAGAGCCCCTAGAGGCTTAAAAGAGCAAAGTATTGCTAGTTAAAATAAAAACTGAGGAGAGAGAACTTGATACAAATGGTACTAATCAAACTAACCTTAGAGTGGCCTCTGTAAGACAAACAGTTGAATTCCATTAGTCCCCATGTGCCAATTCTCAATTTAATCTTTAATTACAGCTCTCTATAATTGTTGTGTTTTTCCTGGGGGGAGTGAGTTATTGAGGTTTTTCTTGGGAAAGAATGAGAAATGTTAAATTTCATACATTTTATATCTCTACCTTTAATATGAACACAGGCCAGCCCACAAGTCAAAGGCATTTGGGCTGAGTAAGAGAGCAATGATTTCATTTTAAAGTAAGCATAATGATAATTTGAAAATCAGTAGTTGACCTTAAAGCTTACTTATTCATAAATTATAAGGTAGAAGAAAAAATAACCCATATGTGGGTTAACTGTACCACTCTGAAACAAGAGGAAAGTTATGTAGCTGGATATAAATGATGGAATATTCCACTTTGGGATTGAACATCCTTTGGGTCCCTCCCTCCCTCAAAAAGAGTAGAATATTCAAATCCAAAGACGAGTACCAGTTTCCATAGAGTAAATTCTGGCTCATAGTGACCCCATGTGTGTCAGAGTAGACTTGGCACTACAGGGTTTTCAGTGCCTGAATTTTCAAAAGCAGGTTGCCATGCCTTTTTTCCGAGGCACCTCTGGGTGGACCTGCACCTGCACCACCCAGGGATTCTTAAGGCACAGAGAACTTGTTAAAAGAGTGTGAAGGGTCACAGTGCTCAGGGAGAAAAGCAAGGGCATATTGATGTCCTGAATGCAGCAGGTTAAAGGAAATGCAGGGCTGGACACTCTGCCTGAGGCCTGCTGATACTAGCTTACTCTGAGGAGGTCACAGAGGGTTTGTCAGCACCAGTACCTGCTCTTCAGTGAAGCAGGGAAGGAGAATGGACGATCTTTTCTCAATTACAGAGAAGCTGTTCAGTCTTTTGGTCTAAATCTGTGTCTACAGCTTATCCCAATCTTGTTAACTCCCTAAACTCTCTTAGATATTTTTTCTTGTTTTCTCTCCCTTTTCTTCCTCATTCATTTCTCAAACACACAAGTCCAGTAGCACAATTAAAAACAGGTTAATGAGTAATTTCAAAATAAGAAGTATCTACCTTGCACTTATGCAAATTAAATAGGTTAGTAGATAGATCATAGACCTTAGAGGAGGATATGGAGACCCAGGCTGCCACTTATAAGTTACGTGACCTTGAGCAAATCACGTATGCCTCTGAACCTCCATCTTCTTATCTATAAATGTGGATAATAATTTCAACTACTGTGAAGATTAAATGATGGTTCAGAAACTCAACAGCCCCACATAAATAGAAGGTATTGTAGCTGAAAATTATGTTGTCATTGCAACTGATTATGCATTCTCATCGAGCCACACTTTTTTTTTAATTCTGTCTTTTCTATTAAGAACAATAAGTGCCAATATAAGAGTTACTGGACAGTACTATGAGATAAAATCAGTATAAACAATTTTTTCCCTGCTTATTTAAGATAAGAGAGATTTTTTGTCTGAGGGAGGGAAAAAAAACTTCTGGATTCTTGGTAGCAAACAGGCAAGATAAAGATTTGTTGGGAATAATTTGTTTGAGTAAAAAGCACTTAGGCTGTGTCTACCATGCTGAGGGACCAAAATGAATATGACAAGATCACAGCACATCATCTAAGAATTCACAATTTATCTTTATGACACAGTGATGTTTTTTACTTAAAAGCAAGGGAGCAGCTCAAGCCTTTGGTATAATACTTACTTTGCTCCACACCACCTTAAAAGGTAGTCTCTTAGTGCTGAAAGAGAATATTGAAGTAGTTAAATTCAATTTCTACCCCTGTAAGGTAGTGCTTTTCAAACTGCATTTAGTGGAATACGACCAGACTAGTCATCCTTGTTCATCAGGCGCAGAGAATTGACTTAATCATCTTCCCTGTGCATGCCACATTATCGTCATCGGTCTCTGCGAGGTCACTTTATTTATTTGCATTTATCTCCATTCTCATCCCACATTTGCCTCCCCTAACCCTCATAGGCAACCATTCTAACCCTTTAAAGTAAGTCTTTTACATGCTTGCGTTCTTATGTGTGTTTGGTTTTGTGCCCTGCCTTTTGATTTATGTAAATAGTATTGTGCTATGTATCTACTCTCTTTCTTACTACATCCCCCTCCCACCCCCGACATTGTTTTGAAAATCTATCCACGTTACCTGTGTGTATATTGTCAATTCTTATAGTTTGTGCCTGGTATACCATATTTTCCTTATCCACCTCCCCAGTGACGGATGCCCAGATTGCCTCCAATTCCCAGCCACAGAAACTTGCTCTGATGATTACCCCCATACATGTTCCCTTATGGATTTGTGGGGGTATCTCTGGAATACAGATCCAGGCATAGAATTGTTGAGTCACAATGCATCTATTCTTAAATTAACCAGGTACTGCCTGTCTGCCTTTCAAAATGGCAAGACTAGTCTACACTCTCAACAGTAGCCAGGGAGGGTGACTGCACCCCCACATAACCACCAACACTTGGCATTATCCAGTCTTCTAATTTTTGTCAGTCTATTGGGTAAAAACTGATACTTCATGATTGTTTTAATTTCCATTCTATGATTAGTACTGTTTTGGAACAGCTCTTTTTTTTTTTTTTTACCAGTTTTTCTTGGCTTTTTTTTTTTTAACCTTTTTTTTTTTATTGTTGTACCTTAAGTGAAAGTTTAAATTTCAAGTTAGTCTCTTATACAAAAATTTATACATACATTGTTATGTGACCCTACTTGCTCTCCCTACACTGCGACAGCACACTCCTCCTTTCCACCCCTGATTTCCTGTGTCCACGACTAAATTCACTCAGCATAATGCGCTCCAGGTTCCTCCATGTTATAAGATGTTTCACAGCTTCATCGTTCGAGCAGCTGTTCTTATAAGTGCTGACCTCTAGGGTTTTCTCTTCTATATATTCCTATACCGTAAATAAGCAGGGAAACAAACAAAAAGTGTTGCTTGAACATTTCTTCCTCCGTATATTGTCTGTTCACATCACTTCTCCGTCTTTTAGTGGGGTTCCTATAAATGCTTGGCTGCTCAACGAAAGGTTGGCAGTTCAAACTCACCCGGAGACTCCACGAGAGAAGGAAAGACTTGGTGGTCTGCTCCCATAAAGATTACAGCCAAAAAAAAACCCTATGGGCCCATTCTACTCTATCACATGAAGTCCCTATGAGTCAAAATCTACTCAAGAGCACCTAATAACAAAAAAATTCTCTTATTGTTTGTTTCTATAAATTCCTCAAATATTCTAGACATGAATCCCTTATTGGATTTAGTTATATCAGATATCTTCTCCCAATCCATCATCTATTTGTTAACTTTGTTTACAGTGTCCTATGTTAAGCTCTAAGCCTTAATTTTGATGTAATTAATGTAATCAATTTTTTTTAACTTACATTTGTGCTTTTGAAATATTGTTAAACAAATCCTTCCTTACTCCTGGGTGGAAAGATATTCTCCTCCATTAACTTCTATTAATTCTTTAGTTTGAGCTCTCACATTCAGGCCTTTAATGCATTTGGAGTCCCCTTTAGGATGTAGTGTTAAGGTAGGGATTCAGTTTAACTTTCTCTGTACGGTTAAGGCTTTTCCTCATTGATTTACTGAACCACTTTTATTATATATTAAGTAACCAAGTAATGCTGATGTTGTTAGTGCAATAACCACTGTACGCCTAGCAAAGTTCTAAACAAGCTGAGTGAACAACTAGTTGAAGGATTTATAATAGTAGATGAGTGTGAACTCAGGGGAGGCCCTTTTTTCTTCCCCAATACTTGTGGATTTGGCACTTCAAATGCCTTTACTACTGTTGTAGGGGAAAAACATCATAAAGTTTAGTAAAGCAAAAGAAAGTTTTATTCGGCATATATTCCAAAAGGAAGAAGTGGGATAACGGACAAGCGTGCTGCCACAGCCGCATCTGTCCGAGTCCAAAGAATATTACAGAACAGGCAAGAGTGAGAAAACAGACAAGCATGCTGCCACAGCCATGTCTGCCCCAGTCCAAAGACCATTACAGAATCATCAGTATATATTAACATTACAAACGGGCACAACCATTGAAGCTTAGCCTTTTCATATTGGCTAGAAACTGTGATCCTACATTTTGAATTGTCTTTCTTATGAATCATTGGTACAGGCTTCAGTAACGAGAGTCAGGAGGGTCTTCATTGGTCCAACAAATTACTAGTCACTAAATGCTGATAGAGAAAGATAAGAGTGGAAAGTCTTTTGTGTTGTGTTTGATCGGCTTTGTGTGGAAGTTTCCCTAAAAGATATTTTCCAAGATTATTGTAGCTACTGTCTTTACAGCTCAGGGTCCAGTGGATGTGCCCTTGTGAGTCCTTGTGAGTCCAGCTCCAGCTGGGTCACATTCTCTATGCTCAAGAACAGGGAATAATGACTCCAATATTATTTCCTAAATCACTACGTATTTTTACCCTAGGTCAGTGAACTACAGGAAAGGCCTGCGGTGGGTGGAGGGCAAGGAGCAAGTGAATAATGTCCCAGCGTGAAATATGAGAACTATATTTATTCAGGGGAACCGGCTTTTACTAGTGGTTTCTCTCGTTTAGTTTAGCCAAGTCATTTCACTTCCACGGGCTTCAGTTCGGACTCCTGAGACGCCTTCCTCTTCTCATCCTTTCTGAGCCCTCCTAGGTTGGTTTACGAAACCTCTGTGACCTTTTACCCAGCCTCTCTACGCCTGCGGTGAATTGGCGCCCTTGCTGTCAATCACCCTGCACTGAATCGGCGCCCTAGCTGTCAATCACCCAATTTTGCCTCGGCTGTGTTGTACTGCGCACGCGCTCGTTATACCCTATCTCCTCTTCCGGTGCGAGAGGCAGGATTTCCTGTCCTTTTTAGAGCTACTGGCGGAAGTCACGACCTTTGCCGAGGCTCAGGGAGTTTTGCTGGTTTGTCGTCGTAGCTGCTTTCGGCACGAAAGATGCCGGGCCTGACGGCCGCAACTCCTGCCCCGTCTGAGTCGCAGGAGAAGAAGCCACTGAAGCCCTGCTGCGCCTGCCCAGAGACCAAGAAGGCGCGCGATGCGTGGTCAGTGCGCAGCCGGGGAGGGGGCGGCCGGCGGCCCCGCGCGCCGGGCTCCGGGCGTTCGGTGCCTCTGCCCTCTGTCCCCACCTGGGGCTCGCTCTGAGCCCTCGTTTGGTGTGCGGCGCTCTCGAGAGAGGGTTATAGTACCCGGTGTGCTTCGTAGTTGGCTCTGTGTATTGACTATAGTGCTTGAGGCATCTGCTCACGCCGGGCAAATGGGTAACGGGAGAGGAGAGAGGTCAGATTCACTCGATGTAGAAATGGATAAAGATATTACTTGCTTTAAGGGGAGCTCAAAGTTAATGGAGGCACATACCAATGGTTGTTATACCACGTGGTAAGGGTTCTAATAGAAGATTTCGCAAAACCAAAGAGAAAAAGTTCTTGGACTGTCTAAAGGATTTCTCTCAAAATTTAGAGAGAGTAGCACACAGAGCACATCCATTACAATTCTTTGTCTGAAGTGGAGGGGCTTTTTTTTTTTTTTTTTTAAAGGCAGATGATTTAAAAAACTAGTCTAAGATTTAGGGGATTATTTAACGTTCAGAATAGCACATGTACATTACCATCAATCCACCAAAAGGTTTTGTTTTCTTTTTATATAGCCTCTATTTTGGAACAAATCTCATTAGAAGGAATCCTCAGATAATGTAAATGCACGTCTTGCCCCTTCAACCCTTTTTTTTCTTCACATGAAGAAGTTGAGAAATGGTGGCATAATGAGATAAGAAGAGTATAGGAGCGCAGTGCTTCTGTGAATACTCAGGACTTTGCAAATAATGCTGTGAAGGGAGAATTGAAGGCTGATACCGCACTTGCCTCCATAGTAGTAGTAAGTGCTTATTGAACCTTCAGGTGGTACAGCGTCGTAATTAAGAGCCTGGGATATAGAGTCAGCGTTTGAATCCAGGCCCACCAACTTCGTGACCTTGAGCAAATTATTTAAAATAGCTGTGTCATTTGTCTGTTAAACGCCTCCAATAAAAGTATCTGCCTCCAGAATTATTGTACGGGTTGATGATACAAGCCACATTAAGTGCCTGGCACAGTAGCAGGCATTCATGCAGTAAATGCCCAATGAATCTGAGCTATTTATCTTCAGGAGGCACTCACTATCCCAGACAGTTTCTCCCATTTTCGGGCAGCCCTTTCTTGAGCTGACTATTGAAGGGTGGGTAGGATATAGAAAACAGTATCAGTTGCTGCCGAGTTGACTCCAGCTCTTGGCAACACCATGTGTGTCAGAACTGTGCTCCGTAGGACTTCCAGTGGCTGACTTTTCGGAAGTAGATTACTAGGTCTTTCTTCCAAGGCACCTCTGGGTGGAGTTTAACTTCCAAACCTTTGGTTAGCAGCTGAGCACAGTAGAAGGGAGAACTTTCCTTCTTGAATTCCTTGTGCATCAATTGCCTGAGGCCACTATGGCTTCTCCCCAAATATCTGGAGTCAGGAGTTTTTTCTTGTAATTGGATTTGGCTTAACTTAATTCTTTGCTAAAATTACATTCCCCCTAGAAATAAAGGTGGTCCTGGTCTCTATTTTGTGACATTCAGAAGTTAAAAATTCTTTGGTCCTCATGAGGGGGCTCGTCTTGCTGCTCCTGGCTCGCAGATCTTTTTTGCTGTTTGTTTTGTTGAATGTCTTGTGATCAGAAGGAGATTTATTTAGGTGGTATTTGAATGTAGGGCAGAATCAGAGTGTTAATTCCTTTGTGGTAGGAGACAAAAAATTAGGCTCTTCTCTTTGTCCTTCAGTTAATATAAACATTTTATTTAGTCAGTTTTATTTTATTATCCAAAAACCAAATCCATTGCTGTCAAATCGACTGCGACTCATAGCAACCCTGTAGGACAGAGTAGAACTAACTACTCCTCAGGGTTTCCAAGGCTGTAATCTTTACAGAAGCTGATTGCCACGTTTCTCCCTCACAGCTGCTGTGGGTTCGAACTGCAGCCGAGCACTTTAACCACTGTGCCACCAGGGCTCCTTTTATTTCATTATAGAGCAGTATTATTCCTTGGGTATGGACCAGAGGCAATATACCAAAAACAAAACCAAACCCATTGCCATTGAGTCGATTCTGACTCATAGTGACCCTGTAGGACAGAGTAGAACTGCCCCATAGAGTTTCCAAGGAGCGCCTGGTGGATTTGAACTGCCGACCTTTTGGTTAGCAGTCGTAGCTCTTAACCATTATGCCACCAGGGTTTCCAGAGGCAATATGTGACGTGCTTAATTATTTCTTCAAATCATATTACTCCCTCAAAACTAGTTATCTGTGGGCCATCCTCACTGGCATGGAAATATCACAAGATTCAATAAAGACAAAGCTGGTTGTGTAATATTTTTTAAAAATGCCAGTTACATTTCTCCATACCCACGTTCCACCTCACCTCTGTCACTGTGGTGTGTGCTTATTTAGTAAAGTGCTTCATTCCTCCTTTGTTAGATAACAGGAAATTTTGTTTTCTAGTATCATCGAGAAAGGAGAAGAGCAATGTGGACACCTAATTGAGGCCCACAAGGAGTGCATGAGAGCCTTGGGATTTAAGATATGAAAATGGTGAGCAGAGTGCCTGGCAAGATAATACATAAGCTTGTTGCTTCAGAGTTGTGTGTTGCTTTACAAATTGAGCAGCCATTTTGCAATATTCTATTTGAAAGTCAGTTCAGAAATGAAATTAGTGACTTTGAGAACACAGGTTAACCTAACATACTTAAGTGTCACTGAAAAAAATAATTCTTCAGTTCCGTATGTGGAGAGTAAATGATGCCAGTAAATCGAGAGGCATTCAGAGGATTTGGGGATTTGGGGGGTGGGGTTTAGCTTTCAAGAAAGTGCTTAACAGAAGCCTTTGGAGTTATGGTTGTTAGAGGAATTTAGCTGTAGGAAGTTCAGAATACTTAGTTGTCTGACTTAAAGGAACTAAAAAGAAGATGTTCTCTATTCCTTGACTTTTCCTGTGTGTCTTTGGGAAGTGCTTTTAAATAGGGACTAGGCAACACATGGATTCACTGCTTTTGCAAAACAAAAAGCATGGAATTTTATACCATGTTCATTCTAATAAAATTAAAACCTCAGACCATTTTCTGAATTACTGAACTTTGAATCCAAATTTTAACACTGAAAAAGACCTCAAGTGTTATGTTACCCAACCACGCCACAAATAAACGATTTCCTTTGCTTAGAAGCTCTTCCCTCAGGTAGATATTTGGCTCACTCCCTGACTTCATTCAGGTGTCTGTTCCAACGCCATGTTATTTATTGGAGAGGCTTTTCCTGACTGCCCATCTAAGATAGCGCCCTTTCCCCATCATTCTTCGCAGCACTGTCCAGCAGAACTCTGACTGCCTGTCTAAGATAACGCCCTTTCCCCATCATTCTTCGCAGCGCTGTCCAGCAGAACTCTGACTGCCCGTCTAAGATAGCGCGCTTTCCCCATCATTCTTCGCAGCACTGTCCAGCAGAACTCTGTGATTGAACTGTTCTCTATTGCACGGTCTAGTGCAGTAGCCACTAGCCACGTGTGGCTGTTGAGCAGTTGAAATGTGGCTAGTGAGACTGAGGAACTAAATTTCTAATTTTTTTTTTTAATTTTAATAGCTATATGTGGCTAGTGGCTAATATAGTTTTAATGCTTACCATCAGCTGCATATTATGCGTTTATCATCTTCATTGCTTCACTTCAACTAGAATGTAAGCTCTTGAGAGTAGGAATTTTCTGTGTTCTGCTCACTGTCATATCCCCAGCACCTATAACAGTGCCTGGCACTTAGTGGGTGCTCAGTAGAGGATTGTTAATGAATGGATGAATAAACGAGGGAACTGAGACCTAAAGGTATGAAATGACTTGCCTAAGAGGGGTTAGCAGGATCAGAACTGGAACCTTGGTCTCCAGGCTGACTCCCTCTGCTTTGTGCCTCTCCCCTCGCATGGCCCTTTAACTTAATAATAGCTGATAGATAACACCAAGCCAAATACCGATGTAATAGTCATAGAGAGCCTGGCTTCTTTCCCTTTCAGCTCTTTCCTGCCTCTGGAATTTCAGGATGTTTTCCTCACTGAGTTGTAGAAAGGAGGGATGAGGAGCCTGTCCTGACCTGATAAGAAGTACCACAAGGTAGTGCAAACAGTGTAGGCTGAAAGTCCCAGGCTTGGTTTTGGGGTTCCCATTGTGATGTCTAGCTTAGCATGTTTTTTACTTCAGCCACATTTGACTTTGACCAAGACATTAATCCTTGAGATTTCAGTTTCTTCATTTATAAGAAGAGAGCCATAATGTATTTCGTGATTGTATATATAGTATGGTATATTTACTACTGAGGGCATTCTGAGCAGTGAGTACAGTTTGGGCAAAGGCATGCACGGTGAGAAAACATGATCTAGGAAATACGAGTAGTTAGTATCTCTGGAGAGTTCAGTTCAAGGGAACGTGTGGTTAGAGATAAGGCTGGGTAGACAGTCGGAGTCGATCGGACGGCAAGAGGTTCTCTTGTCAGGAAGCTTACACTCAGCTGAAGATAAAGTGTGTAGGCAATTTCTGATGAACCGTCAGTAGCAAAACAGGTAACAGTTGTATGGACTGCTATCATTTGAAAGGTTGAGAGCTTTCATTTTGGTTATCCTTCCTACCCAGATCTTTCCTTAGTATATTCTTTCCTTGAGCCCTTTAGAAAAGAGAGAGCTTAGATGTTCCTACAGTTAATGAGGTTTACCTTATTTTTTCAACCAAATAAAGGGAACAGCTAGATGAGGGAAGTAGTGGCATTAGCCATGAGGAGCTGACTAGCCCAATTATTTAGCTACCTTTTTAGCACTGTTTTCTGTCTTCTCCCATAGGACTGGGAGTCAGGGTGGGTGAGAGCTTTCTGGACAGAAGCCTGATACTGACTGACTAGACCAGCAACCCTACCCTCTGTGCTCCTCTCCCTTTTCTGATCTTTCCAGATGGACTCAAAAGGGTTACCCTTATTTTGCCCTTGGGAGAAGTGAGTAACTTTCCACAGGAAGTGCCTTGTGTAATGATTGAGCTGACCTTCTGCCTTCGCCTTCAAGGACTTTGCCAGCATACTTGAATCAGCAAGGAGGGCTTTGCAAGTCTCTTCTCTTGAATATCTGTAGAAATAAACTACCTTAGGCTTTTTTGAAGCTGTTTTTAAGAAAATAAATATAAATTATTTGTACTTCAACAGAAACTTTTAAGATTAAACAGTGTAATGAACTGTTTCGGTGATGTTCTTAGTTAGGCTAAACTAGAATCTAAAAATGTGGACCTTTTATTTCAGTGACTGATGTAAAGTAATTGTGGCCATTATTAATATTTGGCAGAGGCATTCATTTCTTGTGGTCTCAGTTCCCTGATGCATGGTGTTTGAAATTTGACTTTCTAAAATAAGTCTTTTTCTTAGGTGGTCTGCTCTGAGAAAGAATTTCAGAAGAAAGAAGATTAAATAACTGAGAATTCTTTAATGTCTTGGTAAAATGGAAAAAGTATTTATAATTTATTAAAAAAAAAATACCTGGTCACAAGATCTTCAGAAGTGTTTCTTTTGAATTCCTCACATGACTCTTTATTTTCATAAAGCATATAAAAAGATCTTGTAATAAACAGGTTTCTTTGTTCTTGTTACTGTGTTATTCTGGGAATTCCGGGTACTTGTTGTAAGGAGAAAACAGATACTGATGTTATCCAATGACATCCCCCAAAGTAGGTTCATGGAGGTAAGAATAAATAACCCCTTGCCCACTCAGGATGAGTGTGGTGGCCATGGTATGACCTCCTTCAAAACTAGTATGTTGTTACTTTTAACTTTTCTAAAGACAGGGACTGGACAGTCCTCAGTCTTCATGTTTAAAAAATGTCCTTTACTAGTTTTCTCTCTTGGAAAAATAATTTGTTAGACCAAAAGATGATGAAGAATGTAAATAAGAGTATACGTAGCATACACGTCTCTTTGTGTGATGGGAAAATTTTCTCCTTTATAAAATAAAGGAGTGAAATTAAATGATTTCTTTGGATACTAAGTAGTTAAGAGCATGGCTTTGAAGGGTGACAGACTTAGGTTCAACAGCTGGCTATGTTACCTTAAGCAAGCCACAACCTCTTTGTTTTCTCATCTGGGGAAAAAAAAAACAGGGATAGTGGTAATACCTAACTTACAAGATTGTGAGTACTAATTAAAACGACATACATAAAGTATTTGACACAGTACGTAGCACTTAGTATTATTAACACTGATTTGTTGCTTATTCATATTTTCACATGAATATTCATTTGAATATGATTATTTTAGTAAACACTTTAGAGTACTTACCTGGGTGAAAAATAGAATCTTGGACCTAAGACAGGTATGAGCCGACTTCCTACCCTGGCAGATGGTTATCCAGACTGCTTGAGTATATCCTGTGACTACAAGAAAGAAATATAACCTTATCACCTAATGTTAATCTTTGAAACATGTTGTTCCAGGCTTTTTCTCTGTGTTTATACATTTTTTAAAAGAAAAATGAGATTTTTCTATGCTACGTATTTTTAGTGAGATCATAGTGTTTCATTTTTTGCCCTTTTCCCTTAATATGTTTTATCATGAGTGAGTTTATTTCTACATTTTCATGTGTATTGGCTGTGTATAAAACCATCTGTAGCTTACTGTAATTTAACCAATTCCCTCTTTGTAAGTTTATTCATTAAACAAATGTTTCATAGAGTACCTGCTGTGTGTCAAATGCTGTTCTAGGAACTGGGCCTCAGCCTTGAACAGGACACGTGTCAGACAGCTAAATTATTTCTGAGATGTTTTGTATTTTATTGGTTGGTTTTCTAGAAACATACAAGAAAGAAAGGAAGGAATCACCTGAAATCCTGCCAGTCTACATTAAGAATACTTTTTTTGGTGATCTTTTCACTAATTTCTGTCTATATATACGCACTTTTTTACTTTTTTGGGGCTGCTTTATAATAACAGTGAAATCTCTATAGGAATGTCATTACAAACTTCCTTTACTAATTACTCAGCTAAGAATGGGCCAGAGGCTGTGCATGTTTTCAAGGCTTAGGATGTGTACTACCTGACTGATCTAGAAAAAAGGTACTCATTCGCATCTGAGAGTGCTTATTTCCCTAAACCCTTAGCAACACATTAGTTTTTTAACCCTTTGCCAGCTTCATATGCCCACCTGATTTGTAAAGGAATTAAAAACACCCTTCTTCACATCTGCCACAGTTAAAAATCTGTCTCATGAGAACCTCTGCCCATCCTAGTGCTTAAGCCTTCCCAGAGATGATGTGCAGTATTTCAGTGCTAATGGTAGTAAGAGATGATACCACAGTAATTTCAGAAATGAATTTGTTCTCCTAGTAAGTAACCACCACATTTGACACACACGCTTTGCTAAGCCCCTGCTATTCACAGTAACACTCAAAGCTCTCAGTGTAAATAAATTCATATTCTCTCTAATTAGTTGCTTTTGTCCAACCTTGAAACATTGGACTTGAAGGTTGATGAGAACAGGACCGTATCCCTGGATGTGACCTACCTTAGGATAACCATACCTTCCACAGGTCTGATGTGAGGCTGATAGGGAAACTACCATCCCCTTTTTATAGGTGAGTACAGGTACTCAGGTTAAGGAAATCATCCTAGTCTAATAGCTAGTATGTATGATGTAAGTCTTGGTCATTAGAGTTCAATCCCAATGTCATTTATTGTTTTAGCTGTTGTGGAGTCGGCCCCTGACTCATGGCGACCCCGTATACAACAGAATGCACCATTCCCATGATTGACTGCAGATTGGGCCATTGTGATCTGTAGAGTTTTCACTGGCTGATTTTCCGAAGTAGATTGCCTGGCCTTTCTTTCTAGTCTGTGTTAGTCTGGAAGCTCTGCTGCGACTTGTTCATCATAGCAACACACAAGCCATCACTGACAGATAGGTGGTGGCTGCACATGAGGTGCATTGGCCAGGAATTCAGCCTGGGTTTCCCACATGGAAGGCAACTAACAACAACATTATGTGCAAGAAACTGCCCTAGGTGCTGAGTAATCATATGTGAATCAGACATCCTGTCCTCAAACAGATGAAAGACTAATTCACCGTTTACCAACGACCTACTGTATTTTTACACAAATAACACACACCTTCTACATTAGTTTGCCAGCTGCACCCTCCACCCACAGGTATTTTCGTAGGTGTGCTATGTTAAGTTTTTTATAGCAACATGAAAAAAAATAGCATAGTGGCACTTACGAAAATAACTGGCAAACAAGCACAGAAGGCATGCATTATTTGCGTAAAATAATGGTACTATCTGCAAACTGTGTGCTAAGTGGTGTATAGAGATTGATGAGGCATGGACCTTGTCCTCAAGGAACTTATAGTCTAGTGGGTATATATGTATATATATAAACCCCAAAAATACGAAGTTGAAATGCTCAATGCCATGATAGATGGGCCTTATATCTATTTTACTGAATTTTTAGAAACTCAATAAAATGCTTTCCTAAAAAGAGTACCAGTGTGACTATACCCAGTGTTTCTTCAGATATTAAAAACTGCTAGATGATAGTTCCATCTGTGTCAATTGTGGTGCTTTTGACAGCAAGTCACAGAAAATCCTGATTGAGGAAAAGTCTTTTTCACTTACCTGGAAGTCCAGAGTCAGGGCAAACTCTAGATGCAGTGATATCATAGGCTCAATGTTGCTATCCAAGACCTCAGTTATTTTCATCTCAGACCTATCTCCTCTAGGACTGATGAAGGCAATCATGTACTTTCCCATTCAAGTCTAACAGGAGAGAGAGAAACCATTCCTCATGCATGGACTCTTAGTTCCTTTCTTTAATCTGATTGGACCAAATTAGGTTATGTATATTCTTATGGGCCAGTAATAGTTGTTAGCAGAATGCTTTATGCCGATTAGCTAGAAGGGTTCCCCCTCGTTGGATCCAAGCGTAGGTTAGATATCTAAACAAAACAAATTCTGTTACAAAGGAGAAAATGATAGATGGATATTGGCTAGGCAACCAGTTCTTCACTAAACCACCTTGTTGACTCAACAGTGAGGTCATCCTGAATGATTGAATTGAGTTTAGAACGCAATTCCTCTCATAGTTTACTCACACTTTTGAAAGAAAATTATTAAGCATATTAAATATTCTGATGTTCAATTTTTTATAGAAAAAGCAGATGTTCAGAGAACTATTCTCTATAAAGAGTAGTCCTTATGGAGACATTTATAGAGATCTGAATCCAGATGCATTCAGCTGCAAGTAACAATACTCAGCTAATGGCTTAAGTGATAAAGAAGCGTCATTCTCTCTCCTATCATGAAGTCTAGAGGTTGAAAGTTCCAGGTTTGTAATAAGGCTCAGTGATACTTTCAAGAACCTAGACTTGTTCTGTTTTCTTCTCTGTATTCTTCTCATTCTTAGGCATGGCATCACATGGCTGTGGTAGCTTCAACTGTGATGTCACACAACCATGTTCAAGCCAGGATAAAAAGTAGCAGACCCCTTGCGGTCTCTTTGTCGGGGAGTACACAGCTTCCCAGAAACATCCCCCTGCACACTTCCACTTACATCTCATTGGTCACATGCCTGCTCCTTCGCCAGTTGCTGTCGAGGGGAATGGGAAATCGTGCTTGGCTTAGGCCAGTCTTAGTTCAGGACCTGGCGTCTGGAGGAGGAGCCCACCTTGCTTAATGTACTGTCGAAGCAAATTCAGCGTTCCATAAACTAAGGAAAAAGAAATGATTCGGACAGGCGACCAATAGTGTCTGCTTAACATCAGCTTTATAAATATGTGTCCAACGCCTAAAATCATGCCTGTGTTCTATTTTAATATCTATGTTGGGAAAATACTAATCTCAAGCCCGATGCTTCTCAAACTGTGGTGAAGGACCAGGTTTTTGTGTTTTTGTTTTGTTTTTTTTCTCCATCACAGACCAATTCTAGCAAAATGAAGTTTTAAAAAGATCATACACCTTTTAAAAAAGCATACAGGACACCAGCCCCATGTTTTTCTTATTAAATTCAAAGGCCATACATTTCTCTATGAAATTATTACAAAAATGTTTTAACACTCAATTTCTGTACTTGTCTCATCATGGACCAGTAACAGTTTGCAGACCAGTGTGGTTCATGAGCACACTTGGAGAGGCACTTTTTCACCAACTGACTTCATGTTCTGGCCCTAGCCTGCCTTTTCCTGGCTCGTGTCCTGCTGCTTTGATTCACCCACCCCAAGCTGTTCTCTGTTACCAGACAATGCCGTGTAGCTTGTTTTGCTTCTGGGCTTGAGTTCACATTCTGTTCCCCCTCCTGGAATGCGCTCCACTAGCTGGGGAACACCTATTCATCTTTTTAGGCCAGCTTAAGTGTCACCTTCCTGGTGACGTTTTTCCTGAATTACTTGCTGCTTCTTCAGTTCTTCCTTTGAACCCTGGGTATATTATTTTATTGGGTTGCAGTTATTTCTAGGTTGGTCTCTCCTGGAAAGCTCCTTGAATACCCAAAGCTCTTGAAGGTGATAATTGTCTTGTTCATCTTCATACTCCCTGGACACATAGTTTGTCCTGAATAAAAGCTTATTGAATTCAATTGACTCAATAAATATGACTACTGTGGGTTTTTTTTTTCCTTTCCCCCCAAATATTTCCTATTGTGCTTCTACCTGCATGGTTGTGGACAAAATGGACATCCCATTGTTACATGCATCTTTCTTCTCTCCTCTCGATTAAAAAAGAAGATACACCTTTCTGTTGTATTCCAGTCAAAGGTCCCATCCTGCAGACATCAGTGCCACTATCACTGCAGGTACCCGTGGGGTTTGTGCCCCCGTGATCCTCTCACAAAGGTCTCGGGGTGTGGGAGTGCAAATGGTTTGTGATCAACTAACTGAAAAGTTGACTGTTTGAGTCCACCCAGTGGCACTGTGGGAGAAAGTCCTGGCCATCTTGTTCCATAAAGATTATAGTCAAGAAAACCCTGTGAGCTCAGTTCTACTCTGTAACACATAGGGTTGCCATGAGTTGGAATTGTCTTGACTACAGGTTTGGGTTGGTTTATTTATTTTTTGTGGGGATCCTATTACATGTATGCCACCCATGCAGCATACTCAAATCTCCCTGCAGCAGTAAAACCAAACAAAACCCACTGCAGTCGAGTTGAAGCTGATTCTGTGACCCTATAGGACAGAGTAGAACTGTCCCGGAGGGCTTCCAAGGCCGTAAATCTTTATGGAAGCAGACTGCCACGTTTCTCCCTTGGAGCGACTGGTGTGTTAGAACCACCAACCTTTCCATTAGTAGGTAAGGGCTTAACCACTGTGCCACAAGTGCTCCTTCCAGTATCAATAAATGAGTATATATATATATACATATATATCTGTATATCCCAAAAGTATCTAGTGGGATGGTACAGCACAGGGAACATATAATACGAATGCACTGACCTAGACTTTACATACTAGCTCTGGGACCTTGGGGAAGTTCCTTAACCTCTCAACCAGTTCTTCCATTAAAAAAAAATAGGCATGGGATGACATGAGGCAACACAGTAGGTGCTTGATAAGTGCTAGTACCCGCTGCTCAGATGAGCCTGTCCAGGGAGAGACAAGGAAGGCAGGTTGAGTTCAGGCTGGGCAGCAGACTAGGTGAACTATAGCCAGTGAGTGCCTGTGTCTTTAAAGGGTCAACCAGACCGTTGGGCGGGCTTGCTGGGAAAGATGACCTGCTTTGAAATTCTATCTTGGGCAGAACCTTGGCTGCTTCTCTGTTTCTGTGCCTCTGACTTCCTTGCTCACAGCTGGCAGGGACAGCTTCTCTGGAAGCTTGGGGTGCATGACTAAGGAAGGATGAGCAGCGCTGCTTGTTAAAGTAGGTGGGTTGGTTGGGAGGCAGACGGGGGGAAAAAAAAACCCTCATTGCTTTCGAATGGATTCCAACTCATAGCGACCCTATAGACAGAGTAGAACTGCCCCACAGGGTTTCCAAAGAGCAGCTGCTGGATTCGAGCTGGCGACCTCTTTGGTTAGCAGCTGAGCTTTTAACCACTGTGCCACCGGGTAACATAAAAGCAGCATGTGGAAATCTCCAAAGTCGACTGCTGTAATGACATAATGTGTCCAAATCATCGCCTGGAGGGAGGCCCGGGAACTTTCCCTCACCAGGCTCTCCAGCTCTTTTCCTTCTGTTTTTCCTCTTTAGAAAGTGGGGAATAAGATACACATTTGTTGGTCAGTTGCTTTTAATTAAATAAGGGAAAAACTGACTTCCTGGACCATACCATACGTTTTCACCCCTCTGTGCCTGTACCTCTGCTGTACTGACTGCTAGAAATGCAGCTCTCCTTCCACGTAACCGGTGAACTCAATCCCTACGCCTCAAATCAGATATTAGCTCACCTTACGTCTTCCTTCCTGATTCCACCGTTCCTTGTAGAATGCCACCACTGTTTAAACATAACTCAGTGATTGTGCTCCACACTGAATTGTCACTGTTTGGTGAGGTGTCTTTCTCTTGGTACAGTGAAAGCTTCTCAGGGCAGGGACTGCTTTATCTTTGATTCCCAAGTGCTTGCCTCATAATCAGCACTCAACAAATATTTGTTAAATTGAATGGAACACTTCTCAGCATATTTGAAAATTTCTGATTTCTCAGATTAATTTTAACCAGACTGTGGGTCGCTGTGAGTTGGAATCGACTCCATGGCAATGGGTTTGTTTTTGTTTGTTTGTTTTTATAGCTGTAAAAGGAGCCCTGGTGGCGCAGTGGTTATATGCTCGGCTGCTAACCAAAAGGTCGGCAGTTCAAACCCACCAACTGCTCTGTGGAAGAAAGATGTGGTAGTCGGCTTCTGTAAAGATTACCGCCCTGGAAACCAGACGGGGCAGTTCTACTCTGCCCTATAGGGTCTATGAGTTGGAATCGACTTGACGACAATGTTTTTTGTTTTTTAAATAGCAATATAGTAAAAATCCCTATGGATTGAGTACTGGAACAGTTCTGAGAGGGCGCTGGGTGCCCATCTGAGCTGCAGGGGCAATAGGAATAACGGCAGTCAGTACTAGTCCAGTGGCAAAGAAGAAGAATCAAGGAGATATGTAAAAGCCATGTTTCTTGGTTTAATATTTCTTGGCAGTCCAAAGTAGCACCCCAGGTACATCTAGAAGTTCTTTGGAAGCAAACAGACTTCATGGAGGGAGTCTGAATTGGGAGTCATGGATCTAGTTCTGTATTTCCACTTACTGTGCAACTCACTTGGGGTAGAGCAGTAATCCTGACAGACCTAGATTCAAGTTCTGGTTCTGCCACTTACTACCTGTGGGATCGTGTTACCTCTCTGAATCTCCACTTCTTTCAGATTTAGAAAGAGGATAATATTTATTTTGGAAGGTTTTTGTGATGACTAAATAGCATACATGTAAAGTGGCAGATCTAGACCTGTGTACTTGTTGGGTGCCGTCAAGTAGGTTCTGACTCCTAGCGACCCTATGTACAACAGAACAAAACACTGCCTGGTCCTGCGCCATCCTCACAATTGTTGTTATGCTTGAGCCCATTGTTGCAGCCACTGTATCCGTCCATCTTGTTGAGAGTCTTTCTCTTTTTCACTGACCATCTACTTTACCAAGCATGATGTCCTTCTCCAGGGACTGGTCCCTCCAGATAACATGTCCGAAGTATGCGAGATGGAGTCTTGCCATCCTTGCTTCTAAGGAGCATTTTGACTGTACTTCTTCCAAGTACAGAAGTGTACTGCTTCTTCTGCATACTTAGTAGATCCTTAATATGTGATAAACCAAAGAAAACTAAACCCACTGCCGTCGAATGGATTCTGACTCATAGCAACCCTACAGACAAAGTAGAACTACCCTATAGGGTTTCCAAGGCTGTAATCTTTACAGAAGCAGACTGCCACATCTTTCTCCTGTGGAGTGGCTGGTGGGTTTGAACCACTGACCTTTAGGTTAGCAGCCAAGCTCTTAACCACTGCACCACATAGGCTCCCTTTATACTTGGTAATTATTATAATTTAGAAACATGGGATGGGTGGGGTGATGATCTGGGCAACCTATTACCATTGTATTAACTATTATTAGATCCAGATATAAGGAGCCCTGGTGGCACAATGGTTAAGTGCTCAGCTGCTATCTGAAAGGTTGGCAATTCAAACCCACCAGCCACTCTGTGGAAAAAAAGCCTTGGCAATCTGCTCCTATAAAGATTATAGCCTAGAAAACCCCAAGGGGCAGTTGTATTCTGTCACATGAGTTGGAATTGACTCGTGGGCACCTAAAAACAACAGCACAACAGATCCAGATAAATGCAGGGGAAAGTCAACCTAGAATTGAAAAAGTCATTTGCAGAGCTACTTTTGTTTAATGGGTATTACATAAATGCCTAATGATATTTACAATGCGACTCAACAAAGGCTTTACAGGAGTTTTCCAGTTTTCACTGTTAGGATTTTTTTCTGATGAGAATCCCGTATTTTTCTAATAGATGTGTCCTCCTACCTCAGAGAGCCTCTGACCCTCCCACAGGGGGCTCTGGACACTGTCCTGCCTGAGGTGTTGTGATAAATTCTTTGCTCATTTTTCCTTTGTCCCTCCTTGCCTGCCTCTCTTGTCCCAAAGTCTTATCTTGTCCTCCCGGGAGGTATGTTAAGTGCTCTGCCAGCCTGCCTGTGTGCCTGGCCTGTTTTTTCTCACTGCCAGTACCTCTTGGATTCCAATTCCAAACATGGTATCCATCTGGGGTCACCCTTCCTTCCGGTGCCAAGAGAGAAGCATTCCAAATGGAACACAAGTGTGCCTCCTGCGCTGGGCTCTCTTCATTCGGCTTGGGGACAACAGAGAGCAGGATGTGTTCACTTCATCCCAAACTCCACTGAAGTTTTCCGTCCCACAGTCTACCTTTCCTTGGGAAAATTTAGTTTCTCTGCTAAGAGCCAAGTTTGAAGACTGTCCTAAAAAAAACTGGAGCCAAGAAAGCCCGCCAGAGCTCTGTAGGGGAGAATCGGAGCTCTGCTGAGGGAGAAAGAGAAAGAGAAGCTTTTACGTTCTCCATGAAGTGTGCCATGTTCTGCCATTCATTCCTAAAGCCACCAGCTGCATTCCTCCCGGGACAGGAGGAGTTGGTAATGAGAAGCCAGAGTTGAGAAGACACCTGGCAGGACAGATAACTCATTTTCTGGATATCGTCTGTGGGGGCAGTTTTAGGGCTCAGTAAGGCTTTGAGACGTGCCGAAGATGAGCGCCAATAGCAGCACAGTGAGCCAGCTCCCCTGGCAGGGGCCGGTGTGCGTTGGCTGGAGGCAGGATCTGGAAGGGGCTCTTTACCACCTGGCCAACTGCATCTTGCTCCTGGGCTTCATGGGGGGCAGCGGGGTATATGGATGCTTCTACCTCTTTGGCTTCCTGGGTACGGGCTACTCGTGCTGTGTGCTGTGGGGCTGGTTCAATGCCTGCAGCCTGGACATCATCCTCTGGAGCTCCCTGCTGGCAGTGGCCTGTCTGCTCCAGCTGGTACACCTGGTATACCGCCTGCGGGACGACACCCTCCCCAAGGAGTTCGACCTCCTCTACAAGACTCTGTACCTGCCCCTGCAGGTGCCCCTGCAGACATACAAGGAGATTGTTCACTGCTGCCAGCAGCAGGTCTTGGCTCTGGCCACTGAGCAAACCTATGCTGTGGAGGGTGAGACACCCATCAACTGCCTGTCCTTGCTGCTCGCTGGCCGGTAAGCTACTCTACCATTGCCCAACATTTCTTTCCCCAGCCCACGCTTCTCATTTCCTAGCATGTCCCTTTCCATTTCGCGTCTCCTACCATTGAGAGAAGGATGTGGCAAGTCAAAGAGACCAAAATGGATTTTTCTAAGGGAGGGCACGTTTCCTCTTTCTTAGAATGTTCCAAGAGGAAGCCAGGTCATGAGGCATCTTCTTGGTTAGTAAGAACGCTTGTGTGTGTACTTGCTGTTGTGATGTGTGGGGTGGATGTTTCTAGAGCTCTGGCCTGAAATGACCACACATACACACACACACACACACACACACACACATAAACACACCCCTCAGTGCGCCATGGCTAAGCTTCAGCAGTCTCGCTGTAAGCCTTTTCAGGAATGCTTCTGGAAAAGTGAACATGTCAATAAGATTAATTTGTTTTTTCCATATGCATTCAACAAATATTTGCTAGATGCCAACTACGTGCAGGAACAACGCTAGAAATAGAGGGGTTTCCCCTAACTCCTGTTCCTTGCCAGGTGTCTAGGAAGCGGCCTCAGTTGTTCTGGGAATAGCCTGTACAGACTCTGTATGTTATAGCCATTCTGTATACAGCCGGTCATGTAGAGGAAATGCCCCTTGTCCACTTTTCTACTCCTGGTTGTCCCACGGAGATTCTTGCCAACAAGAAGTCAACTGCTGTAAATCTGGGCGGGGGGGGGCGGGGAGGGCAGACAGTGAGAGAAGAGTGATGCCCACAGTTGTCTCACTGAGGATTTGGTGGAGGCACCCTGCTCCTTTAAGAAGGCTGACAGTTAGACACTGGTAGACATGATCTTAGTCAGAATCAGCGTGTGCTGAATCAGCCTGGATGCGAGTGCTAGCTATCGGCCTATGTCTTCTGAACAAACATCACGGGCCCTGTAGGGAATACACGTGGTAGAGAATTGTCGGTCCTTTGAGGCATTGCCCTGGTTGGACTTGTATGTGGGTCTGAGCATCAAACAACAAGCAACTTAACCTGGATGTACTTGGGCTGCAAAAAAGGAAGCAAAGTATTTCAAAAGCTTTGTCCTCAATTTTCCCCCTACTCCACTTTGTTTTATCTTACTTGAGACCGGGACAATGTGGTAGAAAATGTAACTAATAATCAGAAGGCTCTTATTTCAAGAAAAAATGACAACAGTTAAGACTGACAGTCAAAACCAAAAAACCAAACCCACTGCCGTGGAATAAGGATTTACAGTGTAGGGAACTTTCTCACTTCTGAGATCTGTGATGTTATTTGCTCCTCAGAGCTCCTCTGTAAGGAGGGAATTGGGACAGGTGGGAGAAGCGCCCACCCCACCGTGTGGCTGCTCATTTGCTGTAAGCATATTAAGGCTCTTGTCTGTTCTGGTATCTTCATAGGATGGATTTACTGTCAACTTGTATAAGACCACTTCCCTGTGACGGGGAGAAGGAAGCTTGCTCCCTCGGGGTGACTTTTCCTAGTATACATAGCAACAAATTTCGATATTGTTTTTTTCTTGCTTTTCCAAAGTTCAGAGTGAGGGTTTTGTTGTTCTTGTTGTTTTATTATCTTTAAATGTCAACCTGTCTAGCTTTGCTAAGTTGGAGGTGGGGGCTTTGCAAGAAGAAGCTTCTAGTCTATGATCAGGCTCTAGTTTTAAAGGAGAATTAGTGTACCTTGGACTGGTTACACAGGAGCCCTGGTGGCGCAGTGGTTAAGCAGTCAGCTGTTAACCAATAGGTCAGTGGTTTGAACCCACCAGCTGCTCCACAGAAGAAAGATGGGGCAGTCTGCCTCTGTAAAGACTCACAGCCTTGGAAACTCTACGGGGGCGGGTCTGCTCTGTCCTATAGGGTCGCTGAGTCAGAATCGACTCAACAGCAGTGGGTTTGGTTGGTTTGGGGACTGGTTCCAGTGAGGAAGCAAACACCTCACAGCGACAGACGAAAACCCTGTGACAGGAAGTGGGGGCCTCTTGTGCAGACCTCCCCTGTCTCATGTGCAGACTCATCTGGAGCCCTTTGCTCAAACCTCAGGAGTCTTTTTTGTTTTATTTTAATGAGGGCAGCCAGTCCCTTTCAAGACTCAGAGGGGTGATGTGACTTGTTCAAGTCTGCCACACTGTTAAGCTGGGCTTCCTGTTGGAAAGTTTCTCTCATATAAAATTCAAAGCAGAAAAGTCCACGTGTACAATCTCCTGAGTAGACGACCAGCTGTCTAAGTCTGTCATGTAGCAGGAAATTACCTGTTGTCCAGGAAATCAAGAAGGAGAGACTTAAATGATAAAGGACATGGTATACTGATTTCAGTAACTGCAGTGAGCCATGTGGGCTCATTAGATGTCACTCACACTCCAAGATGTTATTACTCCTTGGTGGCTTGCTTGGGTGGCCAGGTTCCTTGCCTGAGGGGACAACATGAGGATTTGATGTATGCTGCAGCAGCTTCATTCTCTCTTCCTTTCTTAGAGAAGCCTTTCCTTGAGATTTTGGTCCCCTTTTATAGGGACACAAGCAAATTCATTGGTGCGTTCCTTCTTTCCTTTCCTCCCTCCCTCGCTCCCACCCTTCCTTCCTTCAGTCTTTCCTTCCACAGATATTTATTAAGAGTACCATGATAGGGACTAGGGATCCAGTGTGAAATACAAAAAATATCATTCCTTGTACTCATGGAGCTTACAGTCTATCAAGAACGTCAGGAATTAAGGTATGCCATCTGGTGAATAATGGACATAGTATTTCCAGGAGAAATGCAGAGTGTGATGAGAGCATTTAACTAGTAATCTAACTTTTCTGAGGAGGTCCGACAAGACTTCCTGGAAGAACGGATGTTTAAGTTGAGACCTGAGGAGAAGGTAGGGATGGAGAAGAGGTCCAGCTGGAGGGGACAGAATATGTGAAGACCCTGAGGCAGGAAAACATGGCACTTCATTTTCTCTTGTATCCTTTCATTACTCAGGGAAGTTCTGCCTGGCAGTGCATACTACCTGGTCTTATGGGAGCAAGTGCGTTTCTGCCATCAGAGGCTCTGGGCTGACTTCTACATCTTAGCTTTGTTTGAGACCTATGTTCCCTTCTGTCTTCCATCTTTAGGTTATCATATAATAGGTGATACCTTATTAATTGGTGATGGTCTTCAGTAATTTGTATGGCCACATATATACCTATGCATTCATTAAGAGCAAGATTCAGGAGTGCAAATATCTCACTGACCAGAACATACTCAAAAGGCTACACGTAGCTGCAAGGGAGATAGAGAAATGAATGTAGTCTTTAGCCGGTCAGCCATGTGCCCAGTTCAAACTCTAGTGCTAGGGAGGAAGCCACCACCTGTCTGTCAGTTTGTTTTACTGTGATGGCTTGAGAGTTACTGGGATGCCGGCAGCTATGCTACTGGTGTTTCAAATGCTTGCAGGGTGCCCATGTTGGACAGGTTTCAGGGGAGTTTCCAGATTAAGACAGACTAAGAAAAAAGGCTTGGCGATCTGCTTCCAAAAGTTAGTCAGTGAAAATCTTATGGATCCCAACAGAATATTGTTCTATATAGTGCTGGAAGATGAGCCCCCTAGGTTGGAAAGCGCTGAATAATAGCCACAGCAATGGACTCAAACATACCAATGATCTTGAAGATGGTGCAGGACCAGGCAGTGTTTTGTTCTGTTGCACTTAAGGTCTCCATGAATCAGAGTTGACTCCAACAGCAACTAACAAACAACAAGTGGAGGAAGAGAAAAAGCAGATATTGGAGAACAGTCTGCCACACTGGAGTTCCTAGCTTTTCCTTCCATCCCTTTCCTTATCTGCTTCTCAATATCCTCCTCATCCTTCAAAACTCTTCTTTAAGAAGTCTGCTGCCTAAAGATGGAATTGTTCTCTCTCCCTCCTCTATGTTCCTCTTCCACTTTGTTCTTATAGTATAGCACTTATCACATTGAATGGCAGCCAGTTATGTGGTAACTGCTAAATTGTGAAATCCTCAAAGTCGTGGACCAGATTGTACTCATCTCTGCATTCTCAGACTTCCAGGAAAACAGAAGGAGTTCCGCGCATGTTTATTTAGTGAATAAAACTCCAGAAATAATGGAGTTCACAGCTTCCGCCAAATGGACAAGGTATACTTAAAGATCTTTTCTGCCTGTCCCCTGTCCTAATAGAGGAAACTCCTTGCTCATATAACTAGCTTTAGCAAGTAGGTTGAACCTAAACTATTGAGTTGTCTGGTGAAAAGCAAAAAAAGCTTATACTGGGTCCTAGTTGTTTTTCAGAAACAGCATCGCATCTGGAATACACCCATTGCCCCCTCCACACAGTCAGTGACATGCTGTCAAATATAACAATCCTCACAGAATGCAATGCCCCTTCCCTGCAGGGGCATAGATAGCATCAGGCTAGGTGCCGACCCCACAAGGCTACGAATACATGCAGCATCAGTGGTGTTTTTAACCTTGAGTTGTAAAACCAAGCCTATAGTCATGGGCAAGTCAAGAGCAGTTGTTTAACCTGTTGGCTGTGTTGAATAAGAATATCCATAAAATTAAAACAAATGTATTTTAGGATTCCTGGTTGCAGCCACAGGAACCCACTCTGGCTAGCTAAAGCAAAACATGATTTTTATTGAGAAGGATACGAGGATTTCTCACCAAGTTCGAGGAAATGGATGCAGCTGAGCCTCAGGTAGGACTAGAAAAGGAACATGCCAGAAAATGGACATTGCCAGTGCCTGTTAATTGTCCTCATCCAAGAAATGAGCCACACTCGCTTAATTCCTGTTCCAAATTCCTAGGAAAGGACTTTGACTGGCTCAGCTTGGGTTAGATGTTCACTTCAGGACCATTGACTGGACAGGATGGGTGGGATCTCATTGTCTACAGACAGAAGCTGTGTTGTCACCATATGGTTAGATAGGGTAAGGAAGGGGCAATGCTAATAGTGTCCACTATTGTCCACTATACCTCCCACCAAAAGCTCAGATAATAGGTGGCAATGTGGTGTCATAGCGAGAGCAGAGATTTTCGTTGCCAAATAGAATAGCCACGTGATAGCTGTGTAGCTTAAACTAGTCACTCAACCTTTCTGAGTATCATTTCCTTAGCTGTAAAATATAGAAAAGAATAATCTACCTTGAGTTATTGAGAAGGTTAATAAAATAGCACATGTAAAGTGGTTACAGTGTAAGCATGTGATATAAAAAACGAGGATCTTCATGTATCTGACTAGGAAGGATATAAGGTCAGGAAGTTGCCCGAGGCTGTACCTCTAAAGCAGAACTTTCTGTGATGATGGAAATGTTTTATATCTGTGGTGTTTAATAAAGTAGCCACTAGCCACACGTGGTTATTGAGCACTTGAAATGTGACTAATCCCACTGAGGTAGTGAATTTTTAATTGTACTTAATTTCAAATAATGTAAAGTAAATTTAAATAGCTACATGTGGCTAGTGGCTACCATATTGGACAGTGGAGCTCCAGAGCAGTGGTTCTTCTTTCTGGCTACTAGGATCACTTGGGAAGATTTTTAAAACTATTAATATCCAGATCCCAACTACAGAGATTCTTGCTTGATTGTTCTAGGATAAAGCCAAGTGTGGTTTTTTGGTTTTTTTTTTAAAGTTCCCCTAGAGCTTCTCCTGTGCTGCTTGGGATGGAGAACCATTGTTAAAGAGAAGGGAAGTGAGGGCTCGGAAAGTCTTAATGGGATCTCTTTCTAAATTGCTCCTATGCAGTAATCAAGCTACTCCTGCTCTGGGTTTTACCGTGTTTCAGGCACGGTCAATCTTGCTGGGAGAGCCATGTTGACGAGCAACACAACCTCAGTGAAGCGGGTTTGGGTAACCATTTCCTTTTTCCCATACAGTCTCTTCTCTCCCTTTGCCAGGGTTCGTGTGAGCCAAGATGGGCAGTTTCTGCACTACGTCTTTCCATACCAGTTCATGGACTCTCCCGAGTGGGAATCGCTGCAGCCCTCTGAGGAGGGGGTGTTCCAGGTAATAGGGAACCCCATGGCAGCACTGCCCTGCCCAGTCCCACTGTAGCCCAGCAATATCTCCACCTCCGTCTTTCCTTGCTCACATCTGTCCATTGAACTACTGCCAGTATGATGCCAAGTGTGGGCGTATTCTCATCTACAGAGAGGACCTGGGCTCCTGGCAGAGGTAGAGCAGTGTAGGGGCGTGCTGACCCAGATAGCTGGGCCCACAGCTCTTCCAGAAGACCCCAGTGACCTTAGAGGGTAACTTAAGATCTTTTGTGAGCCACATCTCCAGCTCTTCCCTCCCACACACTTTTCAGTCATACTAGCCATGCTGAAGTACTATTACTTCCCTAAACGTACTACAGTGTTTTGCAACGCCATGCCTTGGCCTCTACTGTCCCTCTGTCTGAAATGCATTTCCCCTTCTACACTAGGTTATGTCATCTCACTTCCTCTGGAAGCCTGCCACCAGTGTCCACCCCCACAGCTTACTGTTCCTGCGTGTATGCCTGTTCTAGTCCTCTTACTTACGCTGACTGGTGCACATGTTGCTCTCTGTTCTGGTTATCTAGTGTCCTTTCTATTTTCCACATGGTGAACTCTTTGAAGTAAAAATCTGGGCTTCTTCCTCTCTCCATCCCCAGTTCCAGAGGACAGTGCCTGGAACACAACAGGTGTTCATTACAGGTTTGCTGAGCTGGCACGGCAATGTGTAGTTGTCTCAGAGGACTCCGTGGGACACTCACATACATGCAAGCAGCACGCTCCATGTGGGAGCCTGGCTGCTTGGCCTCTGCTCTGCCAATTCTTCAGACTTCGGCTACCTTCTTTGTGACAACCACTATATATTACCTCAGTGGTTCTCACAACAGCCCTATGGGTTATTACCTCATTTAACGGATGAAGAAACTGAGGCTCAAAAAAAATCAAGTAATTTGCCCAAGGCCTTACCCGTAGAAAGTGGTAAAGCCAAGTTGCCTGGATTTACTATTTATGTTTATGTTTATGTTTTGTTTTATACTGGGAGAGAGGACCAGGAGTGTGGAATTTATACATGCATACTCTCAGCCTAATAAGGACTTCCTGCTTAGATAGTTTGTGGTACTGGGTTCCATGTGTCTTCTACCACTTCTGTCAGGGAGTCCCTCAAGCTAATTTGAGCCAACTCCGGAATAGACACATGCCAGGCAGTGCCACCTGGCTGGGCCTGCTTCCGTCCCCACCCTGACTCGGCTCTGTGAAGATGGAGCCTGAGAGGCAATCTTGATCCCACTGCCAGGGCCACCAGCCACAGACCCCCTCCTATTCTATTCCTCCTCTCCCCCACCCCACCCTCACACACGCCCCCTCTCTGACACCCCAGCAGTCTCCTTTGGGCACTCCCTCACGGCCATGAACCTCCAAGAGGGCTGAGTCAGGTCCTCAGCTGCCAGACCAGAGCTCTATTTCTGACGCTGACACTGAGGAACGGGCTGTGGGTAAGCTGGGTGTCCTCCCCTAAGTTATGCTCAAAAGGAAGGGCGGTAACCCCAGAGGGCCTCTCAGCCTGGAATGTAGGCACGGTCGTACTCCTCCCATTTTTATTTTTAGTTTGTACTCTGGTGGGAGCAATGAGAGCCACGCATTTGCTGTTGGCTGTGTAAAGTCCCATTTCCTCTTTGCAAATGCCAAGTGGTGTCCCAAGTTATAGTTCATCTTGTCCTTGCCTTTTGCAATTACATAGTCTTCATTGACTGAGAGAATATCTACAGTGAATGCCTGGATCATGATTCACATCGCGTTTAACACAAATCAATCGACCTTCCATCACACCTCTCACCAATTCAATTAAATAAGAATTTATTGACTGTCCAGCACTGTGGCACTGTCATTACTCACCAAGAACACAGCACAGAGGTGCACGCGGACATCATCATTATTTCTCCCATTTGCATCGTGTTTTACTTAACTCAAGGCCTATTTACATGTTATTTACATGTGTTATTTCATTTAATCCATCCAACCAACCTCTGAGGTGAGTATTCAAGAAAAAGCCAAATACTTGTCAGAACTTTATTACAGACACGTGCATATGTATGTAGGAACCAACCAAGAAACAGATTTCCCAAGGACCTCTGAGAAAGGGTTTCATATAAGATACGAGAAACTGTCATTAGGTTCTTTTGCAGCATACAAGATTGGTAGTCTTCACCTGATTCATTCATTCGCTTCAGTAATACTGGGCACTTACTATATACCGCTGAAACCCCGGTGGTGTAGTAGTTAAGAGCTACGGCTGCTAACCAAAAGGTCGGCAGTTCAAATCTACCAGGTGCTCCTTGGAAACTTTACGGGGCAGTTCTACTCTGTCCTATAGGGTCGCTATGAGTCGGAATCGACTCAACGGCAATGGGTTTGGTTTTTTTGGGGATTTTATTATATACGAGGCATTGTTAAATGCGCTTAGGATACATCAGTGCACAAAACTAAGGTCCCTGCCCTCATGCAATTTGCATTCTGGCAGCGGAAACAAAAAATAAGCCACTTAACTACTAGTTAAAAAAAAATAATAAAGCAGAGTTAAGGGAGATATGGTTGCACTTTTAAATAGAGTGGTCATGGAAATCCTTGTTAAGCAGGTGATATCTGAGCAAAGACCTGAAGGAGGTGACAGTGTGACCTCTGGGTAGAGCTTAGTAGACAGAGGGGGAGCCAGCGCACAGGCCGTGAGGTGGAAGAGGGTAGCATGTTTGAAGTGCAGAAAGGGGGCCAGTGTGGCTGGAACTGTGAGGGAGAAGATGGCAGGAGAGGTAGTCAGAGAGGCGACAGGGGGATCTGAGCTTGTGTTTTCTATGTTATAAAGCCAAAAGCGTTTCCTAATGGAGTGGATGTGGTATGTGAGAGAAAGAGAGGATCAAGAATGACTCTAAGGATTTAGACCTGAGCAGCTGGAAGGATGGAACTGTTAGCAACTGAGATAAGGAAGGCTGCAAGTAGAGCTGGTTTCGAGGGATGATAGGAAGTTGTTTTGGACATGTTAGGTGAGTCATCTACAGACATTCAGGTGGAGATGCTGCACAGGCCGTTAGATATTTGAGTCTGGAATTCATGAGAGAGGTCTGGGCTATAGACATACACTTGGGAGTTGTTGGCATACAAATGATATTTAAAGCTATTGGATTGGATGGCACAGTGGTTAAGTGCTCAGCTGCTAACTGAAAGGTTAGTGGTTTGAACCCACCAGCCACTCCACAGAAGAAAGAAGTGGCAGTCTGCTTGCATAAAGATACAGCCTTTGAGGCAGTTCTACTCTGTTCTGTAGGGTCGCTATGAGTTGGAATTGACTCAATGACAATGGATTTGGGGGATTCGATCACCCAAATGAGTGAGAGAAGGGGTTCAAGACCTGAGCCCTGAGATGCCCTAACCTTAAAAAGTTGGAGAGAAGAGGAAATAGCAAAGGAGCCTGATAAAGAGCAATCAGGAGACAGAAGGAACCCCAGGAGAGTGTGACATCCTGGGAACCAACTAAAAATGTATCAGAGGAGGGAGCAATCCGTGAAGGTGAATGCTGTAAAAATTGACCACTTGACTCAGCAACGTGGAGGTCATTGGTGCCTTAACAGACAGCATTTGTGGACTGCTAGGGACAAAGCCTTATTGGTTTAAGACAGAATGAGAGGAAAGGAATTGGAGATAGCAAGTATAGACAGCTTTTTCTTGGAATTTTGCTGAAAAGGAGAGCAAATTAGTGGAGTGATAGCTAGCCAAGGAAGTGAGACAAAGAAAAAGGGCTTTTTAATTTTCTGGTTTTGTTCTAAGATGGAAGAAGTAACAGCATGTCCATAAGATTGCCTACAGTCTTTGTGCTCAGTGTTAAGGACACTGTTTATGTCCAGATTGACTCTTACTCACACATACCCGCTTCATGTTCAGTACTCTGATTTCTTGTTTGGGAATTGCTAGTAAGTACAGATAAGGTTTAGGTTATGTTAGGTTGTGACAAATACTTGCTGAACTCTTAGTAATGGACGGATGGTATGCATTACTTTCAGAATTCTTTCTCATGAAGCGACATGGATGAGTAATTTGTCTGATGCCATACTGCTGGTAAAGTGGTAAAGCTGTTACTTGACACCAGCCTCTGGCCTTGGTGTTGTAACTTAGGGCCCTGACCGCAGTGCTTATTATTGCGGTGGGGGAGTCGGGTAGGAGGGGTACTGCAGAGGGGCAAGGGAAGGAGGGAGGGTAGTGGGAGATCTGGTAGGCAATGCAGGGATTAAAAGGATTACATAAATCTCTAATAGAGAATTTTGTAAAGCCAGCCCTACTTTTAACTAGATAATTTATTTAAAGAACTTAACACAATGCGTGGCACAGAGTTACCTCTCAAAAAACGTTAGCTGTTATGATTATCATCATCATCATCATCATTTCCAATGTCTCCGTCCACAAATTTCCATCATGAACCCTGCTGGCCTTCTCACTTTTAAAGTGTTATGGCCATCAGATTATATACAGCTGTGTGATTCTGTACCCCTTTCCTTTACTCTCCTAAGCACATTTCCATCTTAAACCTTAACTAAGGTGTACTGTGTACTGGGCACACATTCTGCTTGTTTACCCTGGAAGTGTAACTTAGCTTTGCATCATGGGCATGCAGTGAGCTCTCAGAAATTCCTAGATAAATGACTAAGTGGAGAGGGGGATGCCTTTGACTCTCTGCTCTGAAGAGTTCCTCTTCCTCTGTGTCCTTTTCCTGACCTTAGTTATCAGATCATTTTGGTTAGGTTTAGTGGCCAAGCCAACAGCAACTTCAAGGGTCTGAATAGCAGGACAGTGCTTTGATCACTTGCTGCCCCTTGGCATACCTAATCAGAAGCTAACTGAACTTCTTTCCAACTCCTTTATCCCCTTCTCCAATATATTATCCTTCTTTATTCTTAAATGAAGTCATTAGCATTTCAGCCACACTTCAGAGTGCTAGGAGACCCTCCTCTTTCTTGAAGTCGCAACATACCAGACCCTCTGCAGCCATTAGTTGTATACGCCATGGAACCATAGAATGTAAGCGATGAGGAGACCGAATGTGGAAACTCAGGCTCTAGGAGCTGATGGCCCAGTGAGTGAATGGCTGATTCCAGAGCTCCTGATACACGACATCCCTCATGTCAGTGCAACAAATAAGTCATTCATTGGACCACCTCCTCACAAGGCCGTGGGAGGATAATCCTACACAGCTTCTTCAATAATCAATTTGACTTCAATAATCAAATGACTTCAATAGTCATTTACCAAGTAACTGTACGTTTCTCTTTGCTCAGTACGGACACATTTTCTAGTTTAAACTTTCCCTCTCTGCTCTTGACCCTTCTCAGGTCACTCTGACTGCTGAGACCACATGTAGCTACATTTCCTGGCCCCGGAAAAGTCTCCACGTTCTTCTGGCCAAAGATCGATACATCTCCCGCCTCTTCTCAACCTTGCTGGGCTATGACATCTCAGAGAAGCTCTACGCTCTCAACGACAAATTCTTTGCGAAGTTTGGCCTGCGCTTTGATATCCGCCTTCCCAGCCTCTACCATGTCCTGGGTCCTGCTGCCCCGGACGCAGGGCCAGAGTCCAAGAAGAATGATGAGGAAGTCTGTGAGCCAGCAATGTCCTCTCCTCAGGCCCTGCCCACATCTGCCCAGAAAACACCTCCTTGTCCTCCCCCTCCAGCTGCCACCAACCCTCCTGTACCTCCTTCCCAGGTCAGGATGTCCAGGCCCAACAGTGGCATCCTGGGTGAGGACTCCACCAGTCTGGTGCTGGAGGATTTTGAGGAGGTGTCAGGATCAGAATCGTTTATGGATTATAGGAGTGATGGGGAGTACATGAGATGAGGGGAGAGCTAACTTGGGCACAGCCACCAAGCTCAGGATCCTGTGTAAGTACTCACAAGGCAGCTGCCACACCTTCCTGACAACAGCTGGCCTTAACTCAGCTTGAAAGGGCAAAAAAACCATCTCGTGGAGCCTGTCCTCCAGAAAGTGACATTAACCCAACCTTGCAGATAGCAACTCACTCCGGGTGCATGCAGAGCATGAAGGGATGTTTAACCCATCCATTATTAACAGGCATTGCATTTTTGAAAGAGGGCTGGTTGATATTTTAAACAGGCAGGTAGGTTGTTAAATTTTTTGCGAGGTTGTGCTAAAAGCCAAGGCCACAGCTGGGGCTAACAGGGACTTCATCTGTGGCATGCATTCTAAAGGGGAAAAAAAAGCTGACATGGTTCTAGTACCTACTGGATTGTCTTCTTGGTGTAGAGTCAGTCCTGCAAAGCTGTCAGTATTTAGCCTGGACTGGGCAGGTATCTTTGCTAAAATTGCACATTTCAAAGAGGGGTACAGGCTAATAACCTGTGGGGAGGAAAACATGCCCACCTTGCTTTCCTCTTCCCCAGTGGAGAATGTGCTGATCACTCAGGCAGAGAACTGGACACCTCTCTGACTAAACATTACTATGATCAGATAAATACACTGCAGGCTGGCTTTTCCCAGCAAACCACACCTACATGAGGCAGAGTGGGCATGAATCTGGGAGGCTTCATGGTGTGGGAAGAATTTCTCTCACGGCTCAGGAGTACAAGAAAGGTTGCACTTGGTAGTTCTCAGAAATTGCTTTCATGGTCCCCTGGCTGCTCTCTCAGTACTGTGACATTTTCCTCTGGGACTCCACCCAACCATGGTGGAGGCCTGGATTTTCCTGAGGAAAATCCCACAGTTCCCAACTGGGAAGGCATTTCCAAGTAAGGGGCCCTTCAGAGACACACCATTCATTGGGAAATGTTGACGTATTTTCTAAGAAACCAGCCCAGTAAGGAAGCCTTCCAGGGTACACCAGGGAATGTTTGTACACTGTTGAAAGCAGGTTGTATAAATGATGAAAGAGGCTAGGGAGGAGAATAATATGAGGTTAAATATTTGGTTATAGTATAGATATGCAGTTTATAATCTCCTGTGATACCAGTATCCCACCTTGAATTGGTTCTGGGGTGATTCCAAGGATCTAGCATCCATGATCACTTTTGACTTCCTCCACTGGCACCGTCCACTCTCATTGCCCCTTTTCCATCGTGATGATATTCACTTCGCTACTCGTTCACCCCAGCCACGCAGACTTGTAGCATCCTATGGATCCCTGTCTTTGTTCAACATGCCTTGGACCCGTACAATCTGTTATCAACTCAGCAGCTCTCTGCTTTTTCATGTTGTTCTTCCTGTTTTTCTTCTCTTTTCCTGGTTCTATTTGTTCTTTCTTCCTGGTAAACTGGTTGCCTAAATTTACTACTCTTAAGTGTCCCTTTTCTTCTCAGTGCATCCCCCTGGCCCATTTGTCCTCTATTCCTTTCCCATTTCATTGTTCATGTATTTCTCTCTCCTGTTACTTTCTTTTCCTTTTTTCCCACTTTCTTGATTTGCTCCGTTCATCCTCCTAAACTACCGTGTGCCCCCATCTTGTTTTTAATCCTAGCTCTTCCAAGATCAGTACCTTCCCTCTGTCTATAAACACACTCAAGTGAATGTGTGAAACTCCCCGTTAGGGGGCGACAAGTTTCATGTGTGAGCTTTTCCAACCATTAGGAGGCAGGCAGCATGGTAAGCAAGATTAAAGAGCCGAAGACTGGGAGCCCCAAGTCCTCCCTTCTGTGTGTGGATCTGTTAATAAGCAAATACATGACATCTTGCAAATCACACAACCTCTCTGAACCTCAGTTTCTTCATCTGAGTGTGTTGAACCAGCTGACTTCTAAGGGTCTTCTTGCGATTATGTGAAGAGGCAAAGGATGAGTTTTTCAGGGGAGGAAAAGAGAAGTAGTCAGTTAATACAATGGGCACAAGCTCCAGGACCTCAGAGCATGCAGCCTGAATGTCTTTCAGCAAGAATTCTCTGCTATATTTCACTAAGATTTCTCTGATGCCTTGGGGATATCCTTCTCCCTGGTGGGTTGTGGGTCCTGCTTGGCTAGAAGTTTCCTCTGTCCTCTACTTGAGAATATTTTACCCTCTACCATGTGATTAGAGTATAGCTGTTTTATTGGAAAGAAGGTCGCAAGTCGATCTCCAAAGGATTGAACTCTGAATATTATTTTATGACATACCCCTTTCCAAATTTAGCCTTTTCTGAAACTCAAGATTAAGTAACTGCTAATATAATATTCGAAATTACTGGTATTTACAGTATAAGAGAGTAGGGTTTTTACATTTGTTTGGTTAAATAGTAGAGAAAAAGGAAGAAATAAATAGTTTTTACTTTACAAACCAGAGTTTTCAGAACAAATTGAAAACATGATCAAAATTGGGTAAATTTCAGACGGCTAATTTAAACCTGAGATTTTCTTTGGAAATTGTGTTTTTGGATGTTGAGTTTGACTTATTCTGCCGTCAAAATCCTTGAGGAGTTATTATTATAATGAAATAGAATGTTCCCTTGTGATTGGTAGCAATTTGCTATAATTTCCTTCATAAAGTAAAGCACAATTTACCATCTCTTCCCTGCCTCTTCAGTTACCAAAATTTTAAGCTCATTGCTATTCATCCCAGCACAGCACTTACATAAGGAGCATGAAGTTGGGTGAATTCTGCATCGTTAAGGATGACACGGCACCATCACGCTGACACCAGCGCTTGTCTCTCAGACCAATCCAATTTAAGCCGGACTAAAAATAGTCAGAGCTTCCACTGGGGCACTTTTTTGGAAGAGAGTACATTTTTTAGTCTGGTGGTGCCCTATATTGAACTGTAAATGGGTACTACTTCTCTTAATAGGAAAAGCAGTGCTGCCGGATAATATATTGATGCAGGGTCCTAGAGCCAGACTCTACCTTATCATTTGCTTCCCTAGAATTTTTTCTTTTAATTCTATGGGCACTCTTCACAAGATTCCATTTGAAGTCTTACTTTATAGGAAATGCTCAGTATACACTTAACTAAATGAATGAAGGACTTATCTTTTAGAAATGCATCTCTGAGGTGGTCAGTTGAGACACTGAGACCCATTACAATATGGAAGACAACCGTGGTCAGGAAAGGAGACCAGGACCAGGACATAGTACCAAGGGCCAGAGAACCAACACAATATACATTTCTTATCTACTGTATATTTCAGACACTGTGCTAGATAATCACATGCAAAACAGTTGAAAGAAGTAAAGATGTTTAATCTACAAGAGACAGGAAAGTAATATCTTCAAACTTTAAAGAAGAAAGGGAATTAGAATTTGGTTTCACTTGGTGTCTAGATATGGAATGCAGAAATTGAATTAAAGGCTGACAGGTACAAGGGCAAGGATTTCAGCTTAGTATTAATAATGGATTTCCTCATGGGATAGTAAGTTACTCATCATTAGAAGAGTTCAAGCAGGGACCAAAAGAAATCTCCATATTTTATAAAGGTGATCCAGGCTCTCGGAGAAGGTTACAATAATCAGAAGATTATTGCTATAAAGGTGCCTTCTGACCCTGTGATGCTATGATTCTGAGAGCTGAACTCTAGTCCTCCCACTTAACCACCATCAAGAGTGGGTTCTTCATCTGCAGAACAGGACTAGTCTGTCTCTATCTACCTTACAAGGTTGCTGTGAGGAGTAATTGAGATAAACATAGAAAATCAGTTTGTAAGTTGTAAAGCACTAGTTAAATGTATAAGATATTGTAAAATTCTCTTGTGTATAAGGTTGTTTGGGGCCCTGGTGGTGCAGTGGCTAAGTGCTTGGCTACTAACCAAAATGTTGGCAGTCTGAATCCACCAGCCGCTCCTTGGAAACCCTATGGGGTAGTTCCACTCTGTCCTATAGGGTCGCTATGAGTTGGAATCGACTCGATGACAATGGTTTTTTTTTTTTTTTTTTTTTAAATGCAGTTAATTAGCAGTGTCTCTCTCTCTCTCTCTCTCTCTCATTTTAATTTTGTCAGAGATACACAATTTCCCCTTTTATTTCCCCCAGTCTGGCTCTCCACTGCAGGTGGCGACTGGCAGAGCCGCTTAATAATAAGGAGCAGCCAAAAGGTGGCTGCCCAAAGGAAGCATACACCAGCTCCTTAGCCCCTGAATAACTGAGAGATATTTTCCTGTATATATTCAGGGGAGACAGTCACAGTCACACTGTATTAGGCTCTCTCCTTCACAAGTGGCTGGAAAGTGTTTTGATAGCTGTCAGTGCTCTTAAACAGCACATTTCTCACAGAACCATGGACAGACTCCTGGGGCAGCAAACTTGCTCTTGAAGGGGCCATGGCAGGAGCTGCCTGGGGTCCAGGTGCTGGGGTCTCTAATAGTAATACCACTTCTACCTACCAGGTGTCCAGTGTGTCAGTCTGTGAGTTAGAAGCATCAGTGAGTGCCCTCCGGTCCCTCCGGAGCACAGCAGCCCGGGGTCACCCTGCAACCCACACCTCTCCCTCCCAGATCATTCACCTATTTTTGCTTTGCAGGGCTCCTTCACCTACCCTTCTTCTTGTAAAAATAAAAGAAAGGTGTCTTATAAAACTCCCCACTCTTTTATACAGGTTGCTTTTCTTTAACTGATATTCAGCAGAGTTAGATAGGAGGGAGAGTTCTATAGATTCTTCATAGCAAACAACAAAAGCTGATCTCTTAGTCTCCTTGCTTATAAGGCGAGAGGATTGGACTACATAACTTCAAAGCTGACTTGCCCTAATATTTCACAGTAAAACGCTTCACAGGTACAACTGCCCCTACCATATCAGGGATTGGGTACAGTTAAAACGTTGGGAATTGACAGAGAAAAAAGAAAACTGAATAAAACCATTAATGTCTCCATATGAAGTTAGGCAGGTTATCTGGAGCTGTAGTCCTGAAATCCGTCCTCTTTTTCTTTTCACAGCTTCTCAAACTCCCCTCCAGAGCTACCGTCAAGTGATGTCCAAGGGACAGGCCCCTTTGGTTCCAACCCACACTCCTGAACTTTAAGGATGGATCCACGGTCCTTTTCTCTGTGGGCGGCCTAGCTGTCTGCCCATGTTAATAGTCACAGGAAGGTCACTGTTATGCACACCCATCTTCTTACCTACTGGTGGGCTCCCAGGCATGGTGGGGAGAACACAGAAGACACCGGCACTGCAGCTACCCCACGAGGCCCTGGACGACTTCTAAAAATTCACCCGCATAAGCCTTCCTTTGGGAGGATACAAGTAAAAGCGCAGGAGCACAGATTCCATCGTTTACTAGCTGCATGATTGTGGACAAGCTCCAGAGCCTCTCTGAGCCTCATCTGTAAAGTGGGAATCATAAAACCCACCTCACAGGGTTGCTGTGAGGATTAGATCAGTTGATTTAGGTAAAGCACCTTGCACGTGGCTTGGCACCTACTAAGCACTCAATAAACCACTCGATTCCTTGCCCCCTGTTGTTTCATTGAGATGTCAAAAAGGATGGATGGAGTGAGCAGTCCAAGAAGTTCTCACCGATGGTTCTTATTTTTATTTTTTTAAATTAAAATTTAACTAGTCAGAATCGACTCGATGGCAACGGGTTTGGTTTTTTGGTTAATAGAATTTAAAAACACAGTTTTCTCTTAAGCTTTTAAGTTCAACTTACAAATTCCTTGCTCTAATTATGAATCTAGTACTGAACAATAGTTTTCAGGGACGTTTTTATAAACTTAGTTAATTAAATTTTCTTAAACATTTTAAAATGGATTTATAAATTTAATATATTCTATTTTTTTCTCCCTAAATACTTCAAAATATGTCCTGGTTATCTATTACTGTGTGATACCCACCTCAAAACAGTGACTTAAAATAGTCACAATAATTTCTTTTGCTCCTGCATGTGGAGATTGACTGGGCTCAGCTCAGTAGTTCTCACTCAGGGTTTCTTATGCTGTTACACTCTGATATGGCTAGGACTTTTCTCATGCATGTCTTTTCAGCTGAAGACTCAAACAGCTGAGGATCCTTGGGCATCTCTCATGGTCTCTCTCTTTCTGGCTAGTCTCTTCACATGGCAGCGTCAAACTAGCTAGAATTCGTACATGGTGGCTGAGGGTCCCTGAAGTGGGTATCCCAAGAGAGATGGACAGAAGCTGCATGGCCTTTTCTAACCTTACCTCAGAAGTCACACAGCCACACTTCCACCACATTCTACTTATTAAGACAACCACAAAGACCTCTCCAGTTTTATTGGAAGGGGACTCTCTTGGCTACCTACTACTGCTGTAACAGAAATACCACAAGTGGTATTTTATTAGGATGTCTTTAACAAACAGAAATTTATTTTCTCACAGTTCAGGAGGCTAGAAGTCCAAATTCGGGGTGCTGACTCTAGGGAAGTCTTTCTCTCTCTCTCGGCTCTAGAGGAAGGTCCTTGTCTCTTCTGAGCTTCTGCTCCTAGACAATCTTCATGTGGCTTGGTGTCTCTCTTCCCTCATCTCTGCTGCTTAGCATCCTTGTTTAATCTCTTGTATATCTCAAAAGAGATTGACTCAAAATACACCCTACACTAATCCTGTCTCATTAACAGAACAAAGACAACCCATTCCTAAATGGGATTATAACCACAGGCATAGAGGCTAGGATTTACCACACATATTTTTGAGGAATACAATTCAGTCCATAACAGGGACATCGACTCTACCTCTGATGGGAACAGTGTCAAATAATTTTCAGACATGTTTTAAAATAATGGTTCACTTTCGGTCATTTTTGGTATATCAGGTGCTGGCTTTCTGGAAGGTAGGAGGAAGAGCAGGAAGCTTCTCACCAAAGTCAAATAGAGAGAGAGAGAGAGTTTTTGTATCATCTGAAAGTGTGGAGTGAAAGGAGTCTGAGAGGAGAGAACTGCTGAGTAGAATTGGGGAGTTGTGCTAACAGAGTCTAGAGAGAAATCCCTAGCCTGTGAGGACATTTTCAACTGCATGACCATGTCTGCAACGCGGATCATGGTTTCCCATATCCTGAAAAGCATTGAAAGATTCTCTAATGGAAGCTTGAGCTCTTTTCAACATTTCAAAACGTCAAATGGAAAGCATGTGTTTGCTTGCAGTAAGGTTGCTTTGATTTTTAAAAATGATAAACTATTATATTGAAATAAATAAATACACAGAAGAGTGTACAAATCATAAATATGTATATGGTGAGCACATTCATGAAAGCTCCTCTCTGGTCAAGAGGTATAAAGTTACTGATACCCCAGAAATCCCATTCATGCTCCTCCCAGTCATTACCCATTCTTCTCCATAACTATCACCAGTATCACGACTTTTACCATAAGAGATTAGTTTTGCCTGGTTATAAGCTCCATGTAAATGGAATCACACACTGCATACTTTTTTAGTCTGACATTTTTTGCTTAATATTGTGTTTGTAAGGTTTATCCTTATTGTTGTAGTTAGCAATAGTTTGTTTATTTTTCTTGCTATATAGCATTCTGTTGTATGAATATACCACAATTTATTTAACCATTCTAATGTTGGTGGGGAGCCCTGGTGGCTAAGTGGTTAAGAGCTTGGCTACTAACCAAAAGGTCAGCAGTTCGAATCCACCAGCCACTCCTTGGAAACCCTATGGGGCAGCTCTACTCTATTCTACAGGGTCACTATGAGTTGGAATCAACTTGACGGCAATGTAATGTTGATGGGCATTTGGATAGTTTCTAGCTTGGAGCAATTATGAATTACTGCTAAGAACATTCTTGTACATAGCTTTTGGTACACATATGTATACATTTCTTGGGTATATGCCTAGGAGTAGAATTGCTCAGGAAGTGGATATATAGAGATAAACATATACAGATACATTTGGGTATATAGACATAGTTGGACATATAGATATAATTGGACATATAGGCATAATTGAATATATATATATATATAACTTTAGTAACTACTGCCCAACAATTTTTCTAAGTGATTGTACCAATTTATATTTCCACTAGCAGTGTGTAAAACTTCTAATTGCTTCTCATCCTGGCCAAGAGTTGGCATTGTTACTTTTTTTTTTTTAAATGTGGGTGTTTATAGCAGTAAATCGTTGTGGTTTTAATTTTCCTTTCCCTGATGAATAATAAGATTGAGTACCTGTTCATATTTTTATTTGCTATATGGATATCCTCCATCATGAATTGTCTGTTCTAGTTTCTTGTCCATTTCTCCATTTGTTTGTGTGCTTTTTCCTATTGACTTAAAGGAATTCTTTAAATATTCAAGTTAAAAGTCATTTGTTGGTTACATGTATTCAAATATATTCTCCCACTTTGTGGCTCTTCTTTTTTCTCTAACTGGTGTCTTTTGATGAACAGCATGGAAGTTCTTAATTTCAACGTAGTAATTTATCAATCTTTTCCACCATGATTAGTACTTTTTGTATTATGCCTAAGAATTCTTTTCCTCCCCTGAAGATATTCTCTTTATTACCTTCTAGATGTTTTGTTGTTTTATTTTTCACAGTTAGACCTGATCTGGATCAACCTGGATTTGATTTTTGTGCACAGTATGAAGTAGGAGTCAAGATTCATTATTTTCCATGTGGATACCCGATTGATTGACCACTACTTATTGAAATGATCGTCTTATTCCCAAAGCTGTGTCCCCTTTGTCATAAATCAAATGCCTGTAAGTCTGTTTCTGAATGTTCTATTCTGTGCCATTGGTCTATTTTTCTATCCTTTGCCAATACTACCTACTCTTAATTATTGTAGCTTTGTAATATGTCTTGATATCTGGTTTTGATATTTTGTTTTTCTTCAAGTCTTGATTATTCTTGGCCCTTCCTTTTCTGTTTCCATATAAATTTTAGAATCAACTTGTCAGTTTCCACAAAAAAAATAAACCCTGTTGGGATTTTATTAGAATTGCATTGATACTGTGGATCAAGTTGGGAAAGAATTGATATCTTTATAATATTGATTTTTAAATCCATGAACATGATACATCACTTCATTTATTTGGGTCTTCTTTAGTTTCTCTCAATAGTGTTTTGTAGATTTCTGTGTAGATGTTCTTGCACAGATTTTGTTATATTTATTTCTAGGTATTAATTTGATGTTATTGTAAATGCTATCACTTAATTTTTTTTTTACTTCTTAATTGTTTATTGCTGGCATATATAAATAAAATTGATTTTTATATATTAACCTTGCTTCCAGTGATCTTGATAAATTCACTTACCAATTCTAGTTCTTAATCCACAGGTTCTTCAGGATTTTTCATAGATATAATTATGTCATCTGCAAGTAATGACAGTTTTATTTCTCCCTTTTCAAACTTTATACTTTTATCCTCCTTCTCTTTCCCCTTCTATTCCTCCTCCTCCTCCTTCTTCTGCTTTTTTCCTTGCTGCACTGGATAGACCCTTCCAGTACAGGGGTGAATAGAAGGAGTAATAGAGGATATTCTTCTTTCATACCTGATCTCAGTGAAAATGTTTTCAATATTTCATTATTGAGTATGATGTGTGCTGTTAGTGTTCATAACACCCCTAATAGATTAAGGGAGTTCTTTTCTATTTCTAATTTGTTAAGAGAGTTGTGTCTGTGTGTGTGTGTGTGTGTGTGTGTGTGTGTGTTTAACCATGAATGAGTACTGAATTTTATCAAATGATTTTTCTGCATCTACTGAGTCTCTTTTTCTCCTTTGTTCTGTGAATTACATTAATTGATATGTGAATGTGAAAACAACCGTGCATTCCTGGAACAAATCCAAATTTATTATAACATATTTTCCTTTTTATTTCTGGACTTGGTTTGCAAATATTTTGTTTAGGGTTTTTGCATTTATGTATCTTGTAATATATATTCTTGTCAGGTTTTTGTATCAACATTATGCTAGTTTTGTAAAACGAGTTGAAAGTATTCTCTTTTTTTTCATATTCTCTGGAAGAGTTTGTGTAATATTGATGGTATTTCTTCCTTAAATGTTCAGCAGGATTCACAAGTCAAGCCATATGAGGTCTGGAGTTTTCTTTGTGGGAAGGGTTTCAAGTATGCATTCAATTTATTTAATAGTTATAGGAGTATTCACATTTTCTATTTCTTATAGGGCTAGTTTTAGAAAGTTGCGTTTTTTCTGGGAATTTATCCATTTAGTCAGCATTTTCAAATTTATTGGCATAAATATTTTGACAGTATCATTATCTTATAAAAATTTCTGTAGGATCTGTAATGATGTCCTCTTTCTTTATTCCTGATATTGGTCATTTGTGCCTTCCCTCTGTTTTCTTAGTCTTGCTACAGGTTTATTGATTGTGTTAGTATTTGCAAAAAATCAACTTTGGGCTTTGCTGATACTCCCTATCATGAGTGAAATAGGGAATCTATGTGAAATAGAAATCTATTACATTGTTTGGTTTTTATTATTTTTTTGTTTCTACTTTCTTGAGATGTGTGCTTAGATAATTTACTTGCAGCCTTGTTTCTTTTTAAATATATGTGCTTAAGGCTACACATTTTCTCTGGGCACAGCTTTAGCTTCATACTGCAAGTTTAGATATATTTGGTGTTCAGAATATGTTCTAATTTCCATTGTGATTTCTTCCTTTACCCACAGGTTATTTAAAAGTGTTTCATTTTTTAATTTTATTGTGTTTTAGATGAATGTTTATAGCACAAATTAATTTCTCATTCAAAAATGTATACCCAAATTGATTTGTGACATTGGTTGCAGTCTCCACA